CACCAGCTTCACTGCCCTTCTTTGGATGCGCTCCAGCACCTCAGTGTCTTTGTTGTAGTGAGGGGCCCAAAACTGAACACAGTATTTGAGGTGTGGCCTTACCAGTTATTCTTGTGGTATTTTTACCTGTTTCTTCAAACCTCAGCTCCATTCTCCAAAATAAAATATTTTCTGCTTGAATTGTTTTGAGATCAATTTTTGTAGACTGTAGGAATATGTCTAGTTTGCATAAATACAAACATGAGCTGAAACATTTTTGCAAGTGTATAGTTTTAATACAACTGCAAGATCATCTGTTGAACTATGGGATTCTTCAATACAATATTTAAGCAATTTTGAAGTAATTTCAGTTGGCAGAACTGCTGCATGGTTGAGCTTCATATTTCTTTTGCTTTTCTCCCTTCCCAGGTAATTATGATAAATACACATGCTTTTTTTCCCCTGCAAAGTAGGGTCTACAGGAGAAATGTGTAGACCTTTCAGTTTGGCTTTATTCCATTTTAGGAAGATCTTCATGACAAAGCTATTCCACAGGTGGTAAATATGCCCACTGGAATTCTGCCACGGGAACAGTGTTGCAGAATTGTATTAGACTGATGAGTCAGGCCGCGCATTTTTTCTGAAGAGACTAACAGCATGTCAGTTATTACGTTACTACTATCTACTTGCTTATTTGTCTCATCGTTCCAGAAAGAATAAAAGCTGTGTGAGTCTAGCAGGTAAGGACCCCTGCTTTCTCAAAGACCCTATAGTTCAAATCATAATAAAGCAGGACTCTGAAAAGAAAGAAGGAATAAAAAAGAACGAGGGAATAAAAAAAAATTAAGTTGCTGCTGAGTCTTGGTGGACTGAAGGACACTGGCTTCACTAAAGCTCCATTAACTAAAACTAACGTGACAACAGTAACACCAGGTTGCCCAGAGAGGTGGTGGTTGCCCCATCCCTGGAAACATTCAAGGTCAGGCTGGACGGGGCTCTGAGCAACCTGATCTAGTTGAAGATGTCCCTGCCCACGGCAGGGGGGGTGGACTAGATGACCTTTAGAGGTCCCTTCCAACCCAAACTATTCTATGATTCTATAACACACCTGCTGCCACTGTGGTGGTGAGAAGATATTTCCATGTGCTTGTTGGGAACTATGAGTACCAGAGCTGTTTACAGAGCATGCTGAAAAATCTCATGGGTATTAACAATTCTTGCTCACTTTTGAAATGGGTCACTTTGTAGCAAATGACTTAGAAGTGAAAAGCTTTGTTCTTAACATCAGTTCCGTGAGTCATTCCATTCCCCCCCATATTGGTTAACATAATTTAATTTCCCTCTCTTTACCTATCATAAGAGAATCTGGGGGAAAGGTTTGCTTTTCCCTGTACTTGCAAATTTTTTGATATAATTTGTTTGAGATCTCTTTCTTTCATGGTGCTTTCTTAAAATTAGAACCAAATTAAATGTGTTCCTAGCCATTGCAGAATGCATTGATTAGAGCTGAATTATGCTCAGTTGCGATCTACGTTGAAATTTGCATGACACATCTCTCCTGGAGTGAAACTAAAAGGGAATTTGAATCCTCCTCTATTCGTTTCCAATGAATACAGTCCATTAACCATTAAATCCAATAAGTTGTGGTCAATATTTAGAACAGAGGAATGTGTAGATTTTATGAATGATGCAGCTATTAGAAGAAAAGTCTCATGTACCTACCTAATCTGTGCTAACTGAATAGTCTATGTCTATTAAAGGATAATTAATGACAAGCACCTCTTTTTTCTTTCCTTTTCTTATTTGTATTGCAGCAGTCTCCACAGTCCCCTGTTTCAATCAAGACAGCATCCTTGATTATGGAAGTAAATACCGTAAGATCTTGATTGGGAAAATATGTGTGTTCAGTATGACTGTTGTGAACATTTGCAGTGATTTATGTGTGTCTGCTTATATGCAAAAAGGTAGCATAAGTATATGTGTTTTCAGGGGCTAAGGTGGCAGACGCCTGCTTTTGCAAACCCACAGTGGCAAGTTCAAGCCTTCTGGTCTCACACAGGTGGCTGTTTTCAGCCTCGTAAGCTGTAAATGGGCATCTGAACATCAGACTGAAAGGTGGCTGGTATGAAGTGTTATGGGTTGCTGCCTGTAAATGGGAAAGGGTCAGCAGAGGACCCGCATCCCACAGGAAGTTAGGCATATGCTTAACTTGTCACATTGAGAAAGGTCCACTGAAAACAAAGGGGGAAATCTAACAACATCATGCCTACTGGGCTCTTTGAGCCCAGGATATTGTTGCAGGGGACCATACAACTCACTGTACATGTGAAAAAGCAGAATCATTTTTTTGCTGGCTTTCTGCTACTTGCCACCTTTTTTTTTTATTTTTCTTGTCTTATTTTGATGTGTTCTTTCTCCATTAGTTTTCAGAAACAATTAATTCTTCATTTGAAAAGGCTGTATGAGAGAAATTATGTGTGTATGTGTAGAAGAGAGAAAGAAAGAGACAGAAGTTGCCTTCTGTCTGGATCCAACAGGAAATAGCTTCTTAAGTAGCTATCACAGTAAGAGAACAGCACATCTAGGTTGTCTCTGTGATGATATAAAATAGCATCTGCCCCACCTGACATCACTACTCAGACAGCCTCTAATCCCAGATGGCTAACATAAAAGCTCCATAACCTTGCGATACTATTAAATGAAAGGTAGGTCATAGATGGGTTCTGACTAGTAGGAACCTTAAGAATTGCTGCTGTGAGAGAGGGAGTACTTGCAGAACCTCTGCTCTGCATGGATACAGCCAGCTTCTCCCACGACGGTTCAGTTCTTCCCAACCCTCTGTGCAGTGTTGGTTCCCTGATGATAGAAATGCAACAACTGAACTCTGAGAGAACTGGTATTGTCATGATTTTATAGATATTTTTTCTCAAATGCTTACACAGATATATATTGGATTTTTGTTTGTCAAGTATAAACACTGTCAAAAGTATCTGCTCTTTTTTAACTTTGGAAATGACAGCTTTCTGATCAAAGAAAACATTCATTTTCTTTCCATCCTGAGGAATAATACAGTACTGGTTCTCTTCCAAATAACACATCTCATGTCTTCTTGCTTTGCTCTTTCCTTAAGACATATAACTTACCATAGCAAGCTTTTTAATTAGGGCCTGATCCAAAACTTATAACTGTTGTTGGGGAAAAAAAAACAACAAAACCAACCAAACACCATTGCCTTCAGGCTCTTTCAAGCAGTTTTATGTGCAGTTATTCACACACTGGTCACACTTGCGTGACAAGGCTACATTGTAGGGACAATATATAGAATACAGCATTTCCTTAGGATATTAACAGTCATTTTGGATACTGGGAAAGCTACCTTTTCTTCTCCTTTTTCTCCATGTCAGTTGTGGCAATCAACTGTAAAATGTGACAGTGATTAGACACGGCAGCTTTTTTCTGTACCAGTGTTTTGATGCACCAAAACTTACTCCCTCTTTTTTTCTTTTATATTTCTCCTTTTTTTAAGCTAAGACAAAGATTTATGGCATCTTTGGGAATTAGCTGTGTGATCCACTTTCCTAACGGGTGCAGAGGGAGAATTTCTGGCCTCTTTCATGTCTGTCTTTTCAGATTTTGCCACAATGTGATAAGTGAAAGAACCTTTCTTACCATCACACTGTCATGTTAACAGTGTAAATGGAAAATGGTAAGAGAGAGACTTTAGTTTTCCACAGAATGTGCCAGCACCACCCTAATGTGGGCACTTGTTCGGCCAGCTGGGGCTTTAAAAGTGTGAGTCCGAGAGGCCAAAGTGAAGTCTCTAACCAAGCAACATCCCTCATTGCTGGCCGATGGGTTGCACAGAGGGCAACCATAGCTCCTCAAGTGCTATCAAATAAAAGGGGGGGAAGGGCAAGTAATCCCTCAGGTGGAGGGGGGAACCTTCCAAGGGGCACAGGCGCTAGCTTTTCGACAGGTTCCAGGAATGCTGGATGCAACCGGTGCGCTCAGGGTGTGCCTGACCACAGCGCAGGGATTAAACTACTAGCAACTCGTCGCCAGGTCTGATCCCTCCTGAGCTGCGCATCAGCGGAAAGTTGGGCTTCCTGTTGCTCTCGCCTGCGGTCCGGGAGTGATCAGACCGACTCCGCGATCCCTGGCTGAGCCTGTGCCTCGCAGGCGCTCGTCTGCGCATGAGTCGCCGCGGGAGGCTCCGCGGCTGGAGTATTTCAGGGGCTGGGCACCGGGGGAAGATGCTCAGTGCCT